TATTCAGACTCCCAAGGAGGGGGGCACGCGACCACCCCCCGCGGGCTTCCCTCTCTCTCCCTTAGGCCCATGTTGGTCCAACACTTCCCCGGGGAGGTCCGGTAACCCGTCGGTACTCTAGAAAAATACCCGAATTACTCGGAACCATTCTGATGTCCGAATACTACCTTCCAATATATGAATATTTACCTCTCGGCCATTTTGAGACTCCTCGTCATGTCTGTGATCTCATCCGGGACTCCGAAAAAACTTTTGTCACCAAAACACATAACTCATAATACAAATAGCCATCGAACGTTAAGCGTGCGGACCCTACGGGTTCGAGAACTATGTAGACATGACCGAGACACATCTCTGGTCAATAACCAATAGCGGAACCTGGATGCTCATATTGGCTCCTACATATTCTACGAAGATCTTTATCGGTCAAACCGCATAACAGCATACGTCTTTCCCTTTGTCATCGGTATGTTACTTGCACGAGATTCGATCGCCGGTATCATCATACCTAGTTCAATCTCGTTACGGCAAGTCTCTTTACTCGTTCAGTAATGCATCATCCCATAACTCTCATTAGTCACATTGCTTGCAAGGCTTATAGTGATATGCATTTTCGATAGGGCCCAGACATATCTCTCCGATACACGGAGTGATAAATCCTAATCTCGATCTATGCCAACTCAACAAACACCATCGGAGACACATGTAGAGCATCTTTATAATCACCCAGTTACATTGTGATGTTTGATAGCACACATTGTGTTCCTCCGGTATTCGGGAGTTGCATAATCTCATATTCATAGGAATATGTATAAGTCATGAAGAAAGTAATGGCAATAAAACTAAACAATCATAATGCTAAGCTAACGGATGGGTCTTGTCTATCATATCATTCTCTAATGTTGTGATCCCGTTTATCAAATGACAACACATGTCTATGGTCAGGAAACTTAACCATCTTTGATTAACGAGCTAGTCAAGTAGAGGCATACTAGGGACACTCTGTTTTGTCTATGTATTCACACATGTACTAAATTTCCGGTTAATACAATATTCTAGCATGAATAATAAACATTTATCATGATATAAGAAAATATAAATAACAACTTTATTATTGTTTCTAGGGCATATTTCCTTCACACTCATCCCCTTTTAATATTATTGGCTTTCCTATGGACTCAGTGTGATCTTGGATAACTAAAATAGAAATGAAGAGTCTTGAGCTTTTGCCAATATTTGTCCTTATCATTTTGAGGGGTCCACATCTCTAGTCCATGCCATGCCAATCATTGAACTTCCTGGAATATTTATCATGAATGGATATTAGTTCAATGTGCTATATGTTGTTATGAATTACAAAAACCACTCGGGGATCACTTGCACTTTCAATCTCCCTCTTTCTAGTAATTGATGACAACATATAGATCAAAGCTTTGACAAATGATAAAATGAGTGAAATACATTGTTGCTTTGAGAAATATGTGATAAGCAAGAGCTCCCCCTAAATTTGTGCATTATTTAAGATTTGCGATTGAATGCAAATGCACAATCGATTAGGATCATGGGTCACTTTTCCATGTCACATACATCTTGGTGGAGCGCACAAAATGATATGAGTGAAATAACATGCACACATCACCAAATACATAAGTGAATGATCATACACAAATAATCATAGATATAGGCATAAATCACATATTAAGTATAGTATAATCAATCACACAACCCAACGTAGTATCTCACGAGCATAAAACAATAAGTAGCACGAATCAAACGGACAAAGTAGCAACGGGCAATAAAAACCAACGAGCAAAAGAACGAGACACGTATATTTTGGTGGGGTAAAATCTAATGGCTATAGCGTATGAGTTCATACATAGGAAAGTAACAAAGTAAATTCATACAAAATAATTGTTTGCACTTACAAAAAATAGGAAAAACAAGAAGAGGTCAGGACATAATTCTGTTAAGGTCTATTGTAGTCTGCAGGTGGAAGATTAACAGGTTCCAGACTAGTTTGGAGATGGAATTTTGATGTGTCTGGAATCATCATGCGGTCAATCTGGCCGCCTGGGCTATGTGGTGTTGATAGGCATTGTGGCATTCCGCATCATCGCGTCACTCTATTGGCCTCCTTGGCATGTGGCATGGGGATTTGAGGAAACAAACATGTGTATGTTGCTAACACACCTAGCCATGTACCTGCGTACACACCTATGGGAAGCAAATCAAGCGACCGAAATTAGCACTAAAAGGTGAATTCCGATTTTATCGAGTAGGAGATGATAGCCTTTTCCCCTAAAGATGGAAAATATGTTCGCTTGGTTTATTAATTTGCAGATTCTTTCTCGTCAAGTTAAAAATGAAATTGGTTGATATCATGATGATATTATGTAGTATAGATATAATTATGGAGGAAGTTGATCGTTGAAATGATAATAGATACTGCAGAGTTAGAAACTATCAATTGTTTTTCAAAATCAGATGTTGAAGTTCTCAAAATCCGGCATTCCTTCAAGAAAAACCAAGGACAAGCCCTATCTCGGTATCCTTTTTATTTTCGGGAGCAGAGTTAAAAATAATCAAAATGCAACCATGGAGCCCCGTATCTTTCAATTTGTTGGAAAACTCATTGTTTATTGGGAATAATCAATATATTTTAAATGTGAACCTTCAGACGGACTGTTTGGGACCAGATCGAATTCGCCTGGGCATGGCCCGGACGCTAGCGTGGACTATACCTCGCTGGCAGCCTCCACGCCGTGTTGAAGCCAAAATATATGCAAGCTTCGGGCCGGGATTGTTCAGACAGTTGCCTACACGCATAATTGGGCCAAAGGCCTATGAATCTCTCCCTTTAGCACCCAACTTACCCTTTCATGTGTGGGACTATAAATACTTCACCCCCTCCTCTCGAGGGTTAGACAAGTGACCTAGATTTGGCTAGAGAGCTTGTCTCCAATGTACCTCCCCTTGTAGGATCAAGACCTTCCTTTTGAAGAAAACTATCGATGGAGTGCAAGACATCTACTTTGTAGGGAAGATGTCCGACCCCACCCTTGAGGTGATGGCTCATGGAGAACAAGGCGGCCTTGCAAGGTGAAGACTTCACGGAGTACCTATGTATCAGCGGAACGGGGAGGAACCTCCACCTTTGTTCTTGTTTTCCCTTGAGTTTGTGACAAATCATTAAAACCGTGTGGTGTGGATTTATAGTTGCAAGAGGGTTGTTAATTCGTGTTCAGTTCTGAAGGCTTGTACACTTTTTCTTCGTTGTTGGTTCTTGCTACGTCAAATAGGCTCCCCTGGTTATCCTCCTTGTTGATCTTCGTGTTCTTCGTTGTTCCCTCCTCTCATTCGTGAAGATCGGGCTACCCTAGAGGTTCTCCCCTCACCAAAGAACACCAAAATGATCAAGGATGATCAATGTGCCTATGGAGAAGTGTCGGTGGCTCCGAGGAGGAAGTTTTACTTGAAGACTCCTCCTAATGCTAATACATATTTAAAAAACATTCGGTGACAAGTCTAGGTGGAAAACAGATGATCCCACGACACGAATTCTAAAGAAACTATTATGCTGATTACGGAAAATTAGCATGTGCTAGGTTTGCACACACCACGCGGTGGTCTTTAAAACTGAAGCATGCAATTAATAAGGATGGCATACCCAGACATCTCTTCATTTTTCATAGACATGTATTAATTTTCTTCAACTGTACGCACATGTAAAATAATTTCAAGTGTACACACGAGTAAAATAAAGCATAGGAGAGTTATATACGCACAAGTAAATCAAAGTACTGTGTACCCAGACAATACAATGCAATTGCAATTAAAAAGGATGGTGCACCCAGACATGTATTCATTTTTCTCCCTACTTCTGATCAAGTACAAAGAAGCATCTTGAGGGTTTAACAAACGGTGTCGATAAAGGTTTCGCCCGGTCCGGAGAGCAAAAAACCCAGTCCGTTCAATACACAAATAGTACATTCAAGATCATTACTATACCCAACAACAAATTACACGGAATCCACAAACCACAATACAACATATTGTACAATTCCTTGATTCATCTTGATTGGGAATTGACAGAAGGTAACACCTATACTAATGCTCAAAAGACAACAGTATCCAGGAAAGAACAGAAATGGGCATGTGCTAGGTTTGCACACCACACACGGTGGTCTCTGAAACTGAAGCTATTAGCCCCTGCTGCCAGCTACCTCCCCCTCCAGACCATACATGCTTCAGCTTGCATTTGCATGGGATAAAAATGAAGTCAAGTACCAAGCCTCTACAGGTACCGACTGCCATCTTCTTTCATGCTTCCATTCTGTTGGCGCAAAAAGGGGTGATCTTAGATCAGGGGTTCATCGGGACTGCAGGTCCATGGGTGGCCAAGGACACCATTTGACAGCATTTGCTGCTAGATCTAAGTTTGCTCAGGTCAAAGCATGAAGGCTGGCCTTTTCGTGCAAAATAGCAAACACGCCCATATCATAAAAGGTAACAGACTCATCGGCAGTTCTATGTGAATCGGCCTCGAGAATTTCGTCCAGAAGCCACTAATGCTGTCCCTGCAAACCTGCTGCCATTCAAAGGTTTCATGGGTTTATATGCAAATGTGCTCAGATCAGGAGGACTGTCAGCGGTTCTTATAACTGTAGGAGACAATTTGCTCCACTCAGAGGGACTAGCAGTAGTCGTGGGTCGGTATGCAAATGTGCTCGGATCAGGACTGTCTGCAGTCCTTATAGCTGTAGAGACTTTGCTCCGTTCAGGACGACTAGCAGTAGTCGTGGGTGTGTATGCAAATGTGCTCAGATCAGGACTGACAACAGTGCCCACTGCTTTACGAGTGTTCCTGCTCTGATCAAGACAACCACCAGTAGTAGATCTTGCCGGTGCATCTTTATGGGTGACCTTCCCCAGATCAGGAAGAAAAACAGGGCTGCGTGCAAACGCGCTCAGATCAGGAGGACCGTCGGCGCTATTCGAGGCATCACTTCTGGATCTGCTTCGTGAACCACGACCTCTCGCGGTCTTCTTAGCCGTACACCAGAGGTTCTGTTCCGGGGGTCTGAGAATAGATCTGTGACAGAATAACTGTGCCGTTATATATTCACTCATGGATGAAACCAGGTCTATTCCATGTACTGATAAGTAAATTGTGTATATGCACAAGTTATGAAGCTGCATACCTCACAGAAAGGGTATTCTTCACATCCTTTAAAGGAGCACGAAGGCCACTGGCACGGGAGCCTGCGTATCTGAAAGATGATATCAGTGCAGCAAACTTATCCATCGATTTCTCCGCGATGCCACTGTAATTATTCACATGGGAAATATTGCATCCGAATCTTCCTTCAGAATTTGTGTCGATGTCATCAAGGGAATCAGTACCACAGCCTGCAATAATTTCAGACATTACACAGATTGCTCTCTAAAGATCAAGACAGATTGTAATAAAAAAAGTGTTAAATGGTACATAAACGATCTATAATACAGGAAGAATTGCATGGAAAATGAAGATTGAGAAGCATCTAAACTGAATTTACTTTAAAGCGGTAACCTTGGTTGAATTGGTTTAAAAAACCAAGCTTGATTAATGACTGAAATGCTTAACATTCCTTGTGACCAAGAATAACAATTAACAAATGAGGAAAGTTTAATATGTCACACAAAAAACATTCCAGGGAATGATAATCAAGCTGCCAAGTGAGATATCCACCAAACTGCATGCATGTAACAAGCAAAGGACAAACAGAGGCTGATGTTACTTGCAATCCTTTTTAGTCATATTATCTTCATATCCAACATAGCAATGGAACAAGGAACAGGTTCAAATTATCAAAAAGAAGAAACAAAGGCAAAATAAGAACAAGGTAGAACTATTACCTTCATCAACTGTTGGACTGTCATGTGAACTAGTTGGTGGCAATGTTTCCTGCACAAACAGCATATCAGATACCAGCTAGTACCACAGTAGAACTACTAGGCTAGCTGCCATGTAATGATAAGTAGAAATTAAAACAATCATTTACGTCTTCAAAATTTTGGGGATCCCAAAGTTTTCTTCTCTTCACAACACCTCCAGGGTTCCCCGGTTGAATTCCAGAAAGAGTGGAAGTGCCAGTCTCAGCGTTATCATCATCGTCATCATCTAACTGGTCTTCTACTTGATTTGTGAAAACCCTCTTATCTTTCTTGAAGTATGAACTCCTTACAGTAGGAGCCACATAACTTTCAGCATAATGTGGCACTGATCTCGATGGTTCCGTGTTATGAGAAATTAATGATGGATCTGCTATCCCAGGCGAAGTCCCTAGAAACATAAAACAGGCACATATGAAATACTGAAATCAGTCCCAAGATGGTTAATGTTGACTCTCCATGAATAAAGAAACTATCACATGACTTATGGATTAAGTCACACATCAACTACAAAAATTAGAGATCTTACTCTCTAAGCAAGGACTTATTGGCATTGCACTTGTGTTGCAATAACTGACCTCAACCTGAAAAGATAAGCAAGACACAAGGACAAGAGAAATATGTCCGCAGTAAGAAGGTAGGACTAAGAGAGCATTGCAAATGTTTACGCAGTACACTAATAAGAAATACCTCTGCATCTTCAATGTGTTGATCCCTAGAAAGAGGACCACTGCCAATATCACGAGAAATACAGTGGGGTGAAACACTATCTGAATCGTCCCAGGGGAAGGCTCGACCAGTACTACGTTGAGAAGCATCAATTGAATCATCTCGAGGAGGTTCAGAGCTAAAATGCTCAGAACTATACTGAGAGAATTGAATATTATTCATTGGCAAGCTAGTGTCTTCAATTGAATCAGGGGTGCCAGAGTCTTCAGTCTGACGGCTCGGCAAAGAAGATTCATTCAACATTTTTTGCTTGGGTGTAACCTTAGGTGCCCTGAACTTCCGTTTTGCCTCAAGCGATGCTAAGCCTTCTAAAGGTTAAGGATAGTGCAATGGGTAGTTAAACAGTGTGAATAAAGGATGCAAATTATCTCAATCAACAAGACAATATGGACAATAACATACTACATTTCGTACATCGCCTTTACCTGCCAAAATATTTGGAGTGGTGGGGTAAGAAAACTGTTCAAATGATAATCAGGTATTCAGGTTTCAAAAACCAAAAATTAACAAGATTCTTGTCCAAGGCAATTCATAAATGTGAATTATATACACGCATCTAGGAGCTCACTTTAGTAAACTTAATTCATCCAAAGTTTTCTTGAATAAAATTAAGATGCATTGAGAGGATACAGAAGTAATTTGTCAATATGTTTTTCTGCACAGGCAATTCTAGCCTCTTCTTTCCATTTGAAGGAATAATAGACTCCTTGACCGGATAACCTTTATCAGCAGCAGGTGCACTGCAAGGAATGCTGGCCTGCAAGATATGTATACGTAAGGCAGAAATCTCAATAAGATAATCAAGAACGAAGACACAACTACATGTTGGTAATTTGCACATCCTGCACTATAACTAAGTACATGCTGGTATAATATTTGATAAACAAGCGACAAAAGTTACTTATTTCAACTTCTGTAAGATGATGGTAGTACATTTAGTTAGAGGCGTCAAAAATACATGAAAACATGACAACTTATATTTACTTCCATTCTTTTGTTTTAGTGAGGAACCTTGTCTATTTTATAACTAAATATTTTTGTTATTTCCCCTTTTCATATCTTCCATGCTGGGCTAGTGTAATGTTATTCTCAAGACTTCCTTTACTTAATCAATAAAGAGAACGTTATTAAAATTCAGAAAACATTTCTAAAAAGCCCTCATATGGTGTTATTCATGAAATTGCATCATGCTTCGTTTGTGCATGCACATGCTTTTACATGCACAAGGCTCCTCAGAAGAGAGGGGTGAATTACATTAGGAGGAACAAAGCACCAGCAAACTAAAACGGCAAATTAGTAAAGCATATGAGAGAAAACAAGTATAACTTTCCCAAAACTGTAGATTGACACAAAAAATCTTGTGGAAGACAAAAACCTAACAAGAACAGCTCAGTAGGAAACAGAGAGTACCTCAAATGGTTCCTTTGTAAGTGGATCAATTTCCCCTAGAGCAATACCTTTAACAACAGCCTGTGGTAACCATGTATAAACTAATTAAGGAAATGCTCTAGTGCATGAAAGTAGAGTTCCTTCAGGAGGTAAAATGATTTGGGATTACTGAGTAACATGGTGTCATGAAATCCTTAGCTTATTTTCAAATTCGCCTGTATTCAATGGTCATTAGAAGGAATGGACAAATGATGGAAAAGATCAATGTATGAAGTGTATGAACATCAGCTTATCATATTTATATAATACCTAACTATAAAAATATAAGTTCACAAAGGATATGGTCCCAGAAAGTCGTCTTCGCTGAGGTCATGAGGAATGCCAGACAAATGAACAATATCTTCTGTCGCAGGATCATAGACCCTTTGAAACTGAAATGCCCATATTGCCTTCTTGAAATTCTCTTCATATTGAGGTGGAACAGAAACAGCACTGTACCTCAGGTGCTTGATTACCTGAAAGCATGCATTCCATTAACTTCCATCACACTAAGAACTCGTCATTTATTGATCACTGGGTTGCATGACTAGTTTAAAAAGAAATCTCATTTGTAACATTTGGTTGTACGTTGAATAACTAACTATAAGATAATAAGATAATAGCTTCATAAAAGATGGATCAGTAAACCTTTTGTTTTGCCTGTAGGAGCCATCTCTTGAACTATTTATTCTGCTTGCGCATTATGCACATTTGTCCTTATTAGGTCTGTCTTATCTTGTAGGGACAACTGTTCTACACATGTTTTCTGTTTTTTCTGTGGGTTTTTTACTATTTTTATGTGTATTGAAGGTAGTATATTGAATAGACAGAGAGAAGACAGGATTTACCTTCTCATGACTCTTAAGTTTTTGGATGAGTGCATGAGCACGTTTGACACCCATTCCCGGCAAGGATGGAAGATAGTCACAGCCACTTAAAATACACATCTCTAGTAACATCTGTTTCGTGAATCCATTTAAGTCCAGCTCCCTGTTTCGTTCCAATCGTGTTATCTGGAATTCAACACCTTGCCCAAATTTGTCCATCTTGAAAATAATCTGCACATTACAATAAGATACATAAAAATGAGAGAATACAAGTAATGTTCTCAGAGGACAAGCTCAGAGAACGGCAGTTATTCAACTGCCAAACCATGATACCAAGATAATCTTTCCTGCTTATATAAGTTGGAGCTAGTGGTGAGTTCACATGTGGAACCAACAATCTTCACTAATAAACAAATGCACCTCTACCAATATGTGGGATGAGCAACCTTCTAAGAGACATATATATACAAATGTACTTTTACTCACATGTGGGACCTGACATAAATAAACAAGTACACTACTACTTTCATATGAGACCAACACTGATAGAAGACACAAATAACAAAAACCTGACATGCAGCTCCAACTCAAATATATGCTTATGTTTTCAGTTTCTCTTACCAACCAAGTTCCTCCAGTTCTATACCACAGAAAAAGAGAGTGAACAAATTGTAATTCCAAAGCGACGATAGATTTTGTCCTCCTACCCGATTCACGACCTTGTGCAGTCAACTTACTACTGCCTATTCTCATATGTTTAAACATCCGAAATGTTGCGTCTTCCAAATGACCTACTATGAACTCTTAAGATTCTCCAATGCCAGCCGCATGATCTTTCATGTATTTTTGCTCTTTTTAATCATGAACTGTGCACAAAGGCTGCAGAACAATATTAACGATTTTCTAAGCCAGTGGCCTAAATCCTCATATTTTATAGTTTCATAGCAACGCACGGGCATTGTGCTAGTAATTAGAAAGGCTATGGTATATGTTGAGGGCTGAGGAGGGGGTTGTAATAGTGTGCTTACTCTAGAACAGCCAAATGGTATCAAATCTGAATCCTCGGTAATTACAGCGTCAACAAGTTTGTTGACAGATAAGAACGTCATTTGTGCATCTGCTTCGTAAGGCGCAACAATATAATCAACCTTTTCTTGCTTCAGTACCTGCATTGCATGTTTAAAGACAATTTACAGAAATCAAACCAAACATTTTCACTCTGTTAGAAACTACTTTAAATAGGTGGTAACAAGTTGGTAATATAACATGGAATTTACATCTGTACCTGGATCAGTTCTAAAGCAATTTTAGGTGTAATATCAACAGCTTTCTGGTAGCAGTCGAAAGCAGCACGGGAATTCCCAGCTGCTTCATGTTCCCTGGCACGCTCAAGATTTTCCTTTCGTGACCTGAATGATTGCATGATTAGCATCCAGTAAATAATACTGTAGAATGATGACTGCATAGAGACAACAAAAACTGCAGAGCCCCTTGACCGATTCAACATTAGGTAATAATATTACAACTGCACTACATAGGTAGAGAGCCCCAGATGACCACAACAGTAGCTCATATGCAAAGAAACTTCTAAATGCATAACATTGTTGAAAGGTAATGCAAATGTCGCTTGACAGCTGAAACACACTAGACTATTACCCTCAAAGAAGAGCATACCTTGCACGTTTGACCTCTTGTTCGCTCTTCATTGGCAGAAAGCCTCCATCAAATACAAGAATTGGCTTCACGCCATGGTGCCGCAACAAGTTAACCCTATGCATGCAGTACTCGATATGCCTGGTTCAAATTCAAGGGTGCAAACACAGGTGAGTTTATGGTGCTGCACTCAGGATGTGATTGTGAATTGCAGTTGTACATAACTCTATGGTCCTCTGCACTATGATTCGGTGACAAATGAATTTCAACTGCGTCAGGAAACTACGGTGTAAGAAGGCAATGATGCAAAGTTAGTACTTATAGAACTTTCCATACGTAGACCTCACCAACAAAATTTCTACGGATTGAAATGGTGGATTTTGTAACTAAAACAGAACCAGATCTTTCCCAGATATGTTTCCCGTATATATATATATATATATCCAACCTATAGATACAAGAATTCCTGGCACTGGGACAGATGGGGAAATTCAGTTTTAGGGTACAACAGAACAAATGAAGCGCGTCTTCTTTCCGCAATCCTGTGAGAAACAACACAAACAAGGGGCCGCGTTTATCCTTCATCTGGAATGGGATTCACATTCACCGGTCGGGGCACCGACACAATCAAGAAACCATGGTTGGCCTAAAGAATTGTGCGGTGCGGTAACTATTCGAGAGGCTGCCAATCCGTCGAGGGATTGATTGGGGGCGAAATGCATTGCAAAGGAATAAACTTCCTCGATCCGTCGATTAGGATTCGGCAATGTGGGGAACGGATCAGGAGACCCTATCGGGGACAAAACTAGTCTTTCGTCGGTCCAAGAAAGGGGCGGGGGGGAGGGGGAGGGGAACCTGGTGGTGGGGATGCCCTTGCAGAGGCGGTCGCCGCAGGAGAGAGCGCCCTTGTGGAGCCAGGAGTAGGTGTCGACGGCGACCGTTTGCCCCCTCAGGTCCTCCACCCTGATGGGCGCCATTATCGACTTGAGCTGCGGCAGCAAACCCTGGATCCCCATCGCCGCCGCCGCCGCCGCCGCCGCTCCGCTGTCTGTCCCTCCCTCGCTCTCTTCCGCTCTTGTAAATGGGGTGGGCTTTCTTGGAAAAGGAGAGGGGAGAGCGGGAAGCGGACGGGCGGAAGGAGGGAACGGAAATGAAGCGCCTACCGCACTCGCCTTTTCTTTCCTTTTCTGTGTTGTGATAGATTCGTAATTCATCCACGCGGTTTGTTCTTTTCTACTCCCTCCTTCCGTCCACATATAGGCCCTAATGCGTTTTTTAAGACCGTCTTTGACTATTGACAAGATTAATAGTATATGACATGCATAATGTAAACATTATATCTTGAAAGCTCCTTTCGCACACTAATTTAACAGTTTGTTTGTGTAAGCTGCATGTCATATATTATTGCTTTAATATTTGGTCAAAGTTAGCCTCAAAAACGCATTAGGCCCTATATAGATGGAAGGAGGGAGTATTTTTATTTGATTATTATCATTTGTAAAAAGAAAGGAGGTTTTAGAAATTATTTTTCCATATAACAAAATTCTGATTTGACCATTTAGCATAGTGATAATCTTTCAGTGTGATCGAGAAGCTAATAGTGTCACCCCTAATTTTCTTATCCCTACACTAGGAATAAAGTCGTCCCAAAAATTGAAAAAAAAATGATCCTAGGTCTCTTATGATTCATATGTGCTTGCTACGAGATAGTAGCACCTCCCTACATCACGCCGGAATGTGGAGACTCGAACTCATAGAATTAGCGCGGAGAAGAAGAAGAAGGCGGGAATAATGTTTATAGCCATTTCATGCCCCACACACACACTACACATGCTTAAGTAGCTGAATGTTACAAGTCACATGGGCTCGACTGAGATAACCAGAACTAACCCATGGGACAGGCCTAGGTCGTTGCATACCCCTCCTCTTAAAAGAAGAGCTTGCCCTCGACTGTTCACCATCACGCTCTCGTCATTGCAAACATAGCACTATACCATTCCCAGGTAGCCATTAACAGAGGTAATCCACTCCAGGCGATCTTCAACGGCGTGGGTGTGTTGCCTCCTACTTGAACCAGGCAGGAATGGAGCACTTGAGCTGGCTTGGACGTCTTGTCACTAAGGAGGAGCAAATAACTCGAGGTATCTGAATCAGGGGGCGGTGGATCTGCATGTTTGAGCAAAGAAGCGTGTACCACGGGGTGAATTTTTCTTGATGTCGGTAATGCCAAGCCATAGGCCACCTCACCCGCACAAGTTGTGATCCAAGAAGGTCCAACATACTTGAATCCCAACTTGTGATAGGAACGGCGATCTACTGACCGTTGAATATATGGTTGGAGCCTCACACATGCCTAATGTTGTAGAATTGTCACGGCAGATGTTTTAGCGGAAGGACTTAATTGTGGAGCCATTGCGATGTAGTTAGCTTAAGGAGTTAAAATGGGACAAAGGACACAAGGAGTTTATACTGGTTCGGCCCCTTACTGTGAAGGTAAAAGCCTAATCCAGTTTGAGGTGGTATTGCTAGGGTTTCGATTACCAGGGAGCGAATACGCTTGGTCTGGCTTTCGATCTGTTGTTTCTTGCCCTAAGCCGCCGTCGGGTCGTCCCCTTATATACACGGGTTGACGCCCCGTGCCTTACAGAGTCCCGGTCGGCTCATACAAACGTGTCCGGCCCTGGTAACTTATCTTACATGCCTTACAATACAAGTCACATATACATGGCGGTTAACACTTACGGGCCGTAAGCCGCCTTTGGGCTTTGGGCCCTTTAACAAGCCTGCTACATGAACCGCCATCTTCAACATATTCATGGGCTTGGTTTATGAACCGCCATTGGGATAACCTGGCCCCTCCTGGGCGAGTCATATCCAATAACCATATCCCCAACATTAGGCCACAAGTTGATTTGAACTTGTTCATGTCAATCTTCAACACTTAGGAAAAATCCTTCTTCATCTTCTTGCGAGATATTGTAACCCGCCATGACGTCATCTCCTGAGATTGCGGTAACCCGCCGTGACGTCATTTGTTATTAATATTATATACGGCCCAAATCTTAATAAATCTTCTCTTTTAATGAACCTCCAAAAATTGAAGCGCTTATGCCGTCACATATCCATTTTCTTGTCTCCTCGATCCCCGCGCATGCCACTTATCCTTCCAGCCTTATAAATAGGGCCACTGGGTCATCCTTTCACTCTCCCCCTTTTGCCTTCTCGTCTTCCTCTTCTTCCTTACAACGCTCCAGTGCGCCCGAGCTCCGCCGCCGTCGATCTTCATTCACTGCTTCAACTCCGGCTGCTGCATCACCCTGAACGAACCAGAACGCCGCGGCGCCCCTCCAATGTTTCATCAACGTCGGTAAGCATTCACCGTTCCTCTTAATAAATCTACCTTAGGGTTTCCTTGTTCGTCGGCGTTCATCACCGTTCCTTCTTCTCTTTCCTAGATTGCATAGTTTTGATCTGAAAACAACACCAATCTAGTGCGGTAGCAGTTTTAGCACTTGTTTTTTAATATCAGAATATATCCTCATTGCAACAGATCCCATCTGGGCATTCCCACTTTTTTGCTGCCGCCATCTTAGGTTTTAGATTTTATTTCATTTCTCTGAACTGTTGTAGATCCAATCTTATAGCTCCAATCTGTGAAACATGTTTGTCCCAACACTTAGTAGAATTCGCTTTTGTCAGATCTTGAATACCGGTGCTTGTCACGGTGGCTTACATCACCGGCTTATAATTACCCGTATAACATTAGGCCCCATTTAAGCCGCCACTCTGAATATATACTTTAGTGTTTTACTTCTGGCTTAATGAATCAACTTGATCCGGCAACAAAATTCTTTCTTTTAGGCTTATTTCTTCACAATGCCGCCAAAGACAGTCACTTCATGCAATTGGGTTAAGTCCATTGTTACCGAAGACACTCTCAAAGATTTTGTCAAAATCGGATATTTGCCAGCAAAGAATGCCATGCATTATCGCGCCCACAATCCAGGTGAAGAAAGATCTCAACCAAAGGATGATGTGGTCATTGTTTTCACTGACCACATGAACCGGGGCTTCTCACCGCCCGACTCTAAATTTTTCCGAGATGTTCTGCACTTCTTTCAACTCCATCCGCAAGACATCGGACCCAATTCCGTATCAAATATCTACAACTTTCAAGTCTTCTGCGAAGTATACCTTTAAGAGGAGCCCAGTGTTAAACTTTTCAGAGAATACTTTTATTTGAACCGCCAAAACGAGTTCACGAACGGACCCAGTTTGGAACTTGGCGCAATCTCAATTCAACGAAGGAGAGATGCTATCTTCCCCTATGCTTACTTGCCGAGTCATCCCAAAGACTGGGACCAGACATGGTTTAACTGCAAAGATACCTCTCTGATTGACGAGAATCCATTGTCGGGTTATCATGTCGAGCGCCTGGACCCAAAACATCTTCTTCCTGAAAAGCTTACCGCTGCCGAACGTGCAAAGCTTGTCCCCACCACTGCAAAGGTTAAAGCTCTGCTGGGAAATGGGTTAACTGGCATTGATTTGGTTCGGTGCTGGGTTTCTTGGCGAATCATACCCTTGAGCCGCCGGCCCGGCTTAATGTGTACTTGCACTGGTGGTAGAAAGGATCCGCTGCGCCACAACTCTATGCGCTTAACTGACGAGGCAATCAACGAAATGACCAAGTCCCTTCTGAATGAAGATCCGGAAGATTGCAGCTGTAACACCCATAATGCGGCTATATCTCCCACGTGTCGGGGCACGATTTAGAGGCATAGCCGCATGGTAGTTTTGTCGCAAGAGGGGTAATCTTCACACAATCCTATGTACTGAATAAGAAAGGGATAAAGAGTTGGCTTACAATCGCCACTTCACACAATACATAAAAAATGCATACAACATCCAAATACACTCATAGACCGACTACAGTCAAATCCAACAGAAAAGGAAGATAAACCCCAAATGCTAGATCCCCGATCGTCCCAACTGGGCTCCACTACTGATCAACCAGAAAAGACACAAAATAACGATTCAAGATCTTCATCGAGCTCCCACTTGAGCTCGGTTGCGTCACCTGCACTGGTATCATCGACACCTGCAACTGTTTGGAGGTATCTGTGAGTCACGAGGACTCAGCAATCTCACACTCGCGAGATCAAGACTATTTAAGCTTATGGGTAGGATAGGGTAATTAGGTGGAGCTGCAGCAAGCACTAAGCATATATGGTGGCTAACTTACGCAAATAAGAGCGAGAAGAGAAGCAACGCAACGGTCGAGAAGCTAGAAGAGATCAAGAAGTGATCCTGAAACTACTTACGTTCAAGCATAACACCAGACCGTGTTCACTTCCCGGACTCCGCTGGAAAGAGACCATCACGGCTACACACGCGATTGATGCATTTTAATTAAGTTAAGTGTCAAGTTCTCTACAACCGGATATTAACAAATTCCCATCTGCCACATAACCGCGGGCACGGCTCTCAAAAGTTTACACCCTACAGGGGTGTCCCAACTTAGCCCATCACAAGCTCTCACGGTCAACGAAGGATATTCCTTCTCCCGGGAAGACCCAATCAGTCTCGGAATCCCGGTTACAAGACATTTCGACAATGGTAAAACAAGACCAGCAAAACCGCCCGATGTGCCGACAATCCCGATAGGAGCTGCACATATCTCATTCTCAGGGCAACACCAGATGAGACATCCTACGAGTAAAACCAGCCCTCAAGTTTCCTCGAGGTGGCCCCGCAGTCTACTCAGTTCAAACCAACACTTAGAGAAGCACTGGCCCGGGCGGTTAAAATAAAGATGACCCTCGGGAGCGCGACTCCCAAGGGAAAAGGTATAGGTTGTTAGGAAAATATAAAACCAAGGTTGGGCCTTGCTGGAGGAGTTTTATTCAAAGCAAACTGTCAAGGGGTTCTCATAACACCCAACCGCGTAAGGAACGCAAAATCAAGGAACATGACACCGGTATGACGGAAACTAGGGCGGCAAGAGTGGAACAAAACACCAGGCATAAGGCCGAGCCTTCTACCCTTTACCAAGTATATAGATGCATTAATTAAATAAGAGATAATGTGATATCCCAACATATCCATGTTCCAACATGGAACAAACTTGAGCTTCACCTGCAACTATCAACGCTATAAGAGAGGCTGAGCAAAAGAAGTAACATAGCCAAACAACGTTTGCTAGGAAGGTGGG